CCCCAAAACCCCAAAACCCCTTTGATCTGTATTATAATAATTTTAGTATTCTAAATAAGTAATAAATATTATTGAATCTTTACACTTGAATAAAAATAGTTCAGTTCAAAAATCCTTATATACAATGGCTTTATCATTTTATTTGAAGATATTATTGCCTTATGTTGGAATAGTTTGATTTTTTGGCGTATTCCTAATCAGAAATCTTTTTAGTATTGATTAGTAAGGTCCCATGTTAAGCTAATCAATCTCAGAGTCATTAAGTTTACTAACACTCTATTCCTCAAGTTAATTAAGATTATGGTTCTTAGAGTCCTCTAAATCGTTTTCATTACATCTACTTTCATCATTAGATTTTTAGGAATGTGTTGATCTCTTGCTACGATTATCCCTCTACTGCATTAGAGGACTCTTTGGAGCATCATAGCTTTCAATAAGTTTCCCATGTAATCTTTAAAGTAAGGTTCTATTCTCATTTTAATCTATAATTTCCTCCTAAAAATCTTTAAGCTTTCTTTAGAATACTCCTCTCATTAGGTTCCTTTCTACAGTTTTTAGCTTTTAACCTTCAAATGCTTTCATCATTTTCTTTAGTTTGCCATAAATCACAAGTCTTATTAGCGGATTCTAACTTTCCATTAAAGTTAAAGTATCTAAATTATTGTCGTCAGAGTCTGAAGATTCAGAGGTGGTTTCTAATAAGTTTTATCTCTAGAATCTTAAAAGCATTCTATGCTTTTAAGAAAGCATTGCCTAAGCTAGTAATCTAAACTTTCTTAATGTCTTGATAAGAGATACCACATCTAGCTCTTATCCTAGTTTTTCTTCTCCTTTGTGGTAAATGAAATGCTTTTTGAAGTATTTCTTGTTTCTTAGTCTGCCTAGATTTCTGATGCAAAGACATTGAGAAACATACTACCAGATAGAAGTATAATCGTAAGTGAATCTCATTCTTGAAATAAATGACACTAGTAGACTGTTTACATCATCATTTCTCACCCACTACTTTTCTTTGAAATTTATAGCATTATGGTCTTCAACAACTTTTATGTACTTCTCATCTTTGACTTCACATTTTAGATTTGAAGTATCAAGTTCATTTTTATTAGCGTTTTTATTGATTGAGTCATCGAACCCTACATTTACAGAATTGTGGTCAATAGCTTCTTAAATCTACAAATCTTAGTTAAATTAACTCATTTTAAAAGGCTTCATTGAGCCACCTAAATCCACATTCTCTCTCATTGAATCTTACTAATCAATACGTGGCTCATGCTTGAATGCTTAATTTAGTCGGCACTACTTTACATCCTCTTAGAATACCTTTTATGGCCGCCCTTAGGTCTATCTTGGACTCCAGCTATTCTTATTATCCATATTTCTAATATTATTGTGATCCCCATGTTAATCTTATTGACTTTCTTATTACTCATTTTCAGGTTCGTAGATATACTTTCTAACCTGATACATTTCATGCATAACATCACTAATAAACATCTTTTGAGAGATGAATCCAATAATCAATAATCCTATAGCCATTAGTGATTCTTTTAATCCTCCCACATCACCTAAAAGCTCAAGGATAGAATAAACTTTCCTAGTATAGATGTCATATCTATTATCAAACCTCATATACATTGCCAGAATATAGCCATCTGCATCTGAATATTGATCATCATAGTAGCGCTATTCAGTTATCTAATGGAAAGCAATGTCTTTAGACTACCCAAACTAGATTAAATCATCTTCCAACTCAGCTTCTTATAGCTAAATATAGAAGTTAGTTTTCTTAATTCTGTTAGCCTCTAACTCATAAAAAAGAGAATCGTCAATAAATGTCTTAATTTGGAAGCCATCCTCAAAGCTCTTTAAGTCGAAAAAGGTATTCACAAATGCAAAGTTAAAGACTTCTTAATCAAAATAGCTATCAACTACTGATCTGTCTAGACATTTCTTTGTTTTGTTGGTAGCTGTTGATGGGTCTATGCACTTCCACAATTTTATCTCTAAGTATTCAAATTTATCTTGATAGTAATTTCCTTGAAATTAATAATCATCTTTTGTAATGCACTTATATTCAGATATTCCTTTTTCTATAACCTCCTTAGGATTTTTGAATTAAAATAACTTGTCTCCGCATTTTTGATACGAAAGATCAGTCTTTATTTTTTATTTGATAATTTTTCCATTATTATCTGTTTCGTTTGTACTATAAATTCCAATTTATCAAACTGTGAAATATCCGATTCTCGGATCTAGTTCAGTGTTTAAACTAAAGGCGAAATCAAAACCTGAATCCTAAGGTCTGAAGATATCTGCTTCTGACATGTCTCTCAACAAGGATACCTTGGCTACCTCAGGATTGATTCTATTGAAGAGATACAAGGCTTTAAACACTCCAAACCCAATGAGAATACAAATTAGTAAAGTTGATACTATGGCACCAATCAATGTTTTATATGAATCTTCTCCTTTATAAGTAAGCTATATTTGCTGCCCAAACCAATCTAGGCTTTTGAATTAATCTCTGATTCCCTCGCATTTGTTTTTCGTTGGTTTCTAATTTACAACTCTCTATGAAATAAGGTTAAAACTTGCGTGCAAATGGTGTACTAAATTAGAATACCTTTGCTTTTTAACTGTGTCTCTACATTAAGTTATTCAATTTGTTATAATTCTATCATCAAATCAAATAAATCAAAGAAGCAACTGTCCACTATAAATAAATACCTTATTTTTCTATTTTAAAAAATTGTTTACTATAGATCATAACGGGGTTTTGGGGTTTTGGGGG